CCGAAGGCTTAAATAGGGCATTTCTAATGGTTAAACTAGTAGTTTTTAGTGGTTAATGGGTGAAAAGGATACTAGTGAATTAGTTGAGAATTGGGCCAATCAGCCCAAAACAGGCCTCAAAATGGGTGAAATCATCGCTGCATAGAGCGACCTCAACTTGCAACTTCATACTTGCATAATTCCATAACTGTTACACAAAATTTCATATTTTTGTCACCTTTACCTTTAGAAAAAGACTGTTAGAAATTTTAAAAGATAAAGCTATTTTTTTTAGTCAAAATTGGAGAGAGAGAGTAGAGAGAGAGAGAGGAGAGAGAGAGAGAGAGAGAACTGGTGGAATTCTGTCATCGCTAAGGTCCCACAGACTGACAGAGTTCAAAACACTACCTTTGGGAATTCTAACACAATTCCTCTGACCACCACAGAGGGAACAAATCCTCTTCCCAGCAACGAGGGAAGCCTTGGATCTGTTAATTCTCCTACACCTGACATCTCTGCTTCAGCCACTGCCAGTCTACTTGACAGTGCACATACCATCTCTGATCCTACACCTGTCAGCATACCTGCCGACACTATTCTAGAATCTGGTAGCAGTGCTTCATCAGCAAGTTCTGAGCCAGGAGTTTCTCCACCAGAGAACGGTGCAGTTAATGATCAGGGAACTATCACTGCACCTGATCACCTACTGCGCCGAAGTACGAACAGCAGGGACACATCTGTCAGAACTGGTAGAGGACGGGGCAGAGGACATGGAGGAGGACGTGGAGGAGGAAGACATCTACAGCTGTCTCACCCTCCACTAACACAGTTCCAGCGGCAGAATCTGAGGACAAATCTGCAAAACACAGGAGGTGCAACAAATCCTAGTCCACCCTCCCAGGCACCTAGGCTGTGCTCTCGCTGTCACCGGAAGGGGCACACTGTCAACAACTGCCTGCGAGATACCAGGTGTAATTACTGCTACAAGAAAGGACATAAGGAGGACCAGTGTCGGAAGAAAAAGGAACCTGACAGACAGGGCCACCTGTTCAGAGACCTGTTCTCAGAACAAACCAGCAGGATCTCTGAATTGGTGAACACTCTCACACGTCACCCACTTAGCTACTCCTATCCCAGCCCAGCAGGTGGGATTGTGCCTTATACAAGACCACAGACCTACATCCCTGCAGCTGCCTCAGTACCCACCTCTCTCAAGGGCAGGCACCTTACATTTCCCTACACACCCACCACCTCAAGCTGACCACTTCATCATGAGGAGCCAGTCTATCAGCATCCTGTCGGCCAATATTAGAGGTTTCATTACTAATGTTGGAGAGCTCACACATAGTTTTGTGAAACACTGGGACGTCCTGACATGATAGCTGTTGTTGAAACATTTTTGGATGACAGGATTCCAGAAAATTTTGCAAGAATTGCTGGCTACACCTCATGGATGAGAAGAGACAGGTAAGGGCAAGGAGGAGGTGTTGCTGTGTGCTTCTCTAAAAGTGTTCATGCCCAGCACATTGATGTTGCCACCCCTACACATCTTGAAATGATGTTCTTCAAGCTCTGTATAAACACTAGTACCTCTGTACAAGCATGTGCAATGTACAGACCTCAGTGGCAACATGCAGACCCTATCAACTTCCTAATGGAAAATATTGACTCCCTTCTGCTACAACACAACTGTCAACATATTATAATTGTTGGTGACCTCAACCAGCACCTTATACAGAGGAACTTTGATGACCTTCTTGCAGTGTTTGACATGAGAAACTTTGTTGATTTCCCTACTCATATCCCTTGACCCAGTAGTGAGTGATCTGGCAGAAGGCATAGTCACTTGTCAACCCCTCGGCTACGTTGGATCGTCTGACCACAAGGCTGTTTTTACCCCACTTAAGATCCCAACAGAACGAGGTGAGGAGTCCACACGCACAACCTGGCTATGGGAAAGAGGTAATTGGCCAGCCCTTTGCTCTGAGCTCGCCACCACCGACTGGAATGCTCTTCTCCAAGGGGATGTTGACAACCAAGTGAAAGCCTTCACTGGACACATCCTTAATCTACAACAAGAACACATTCCTCACAGGCAATATGTGACGAAGCCTACAGATCAGCCTTGGTTTGGCTTTCGTTGTAGAGAGGCTGCTACTGCTAAGTACAAAGCATGGTGAAGGTATAAGAGACATCCTACCACCTATAACAGGAACTTGCACATGCAAGCCTGTAGGCATATGGGTGATGTTCAAAAGTGGGCCATTGCTAAATGGGAGGTGGACACAAAAGAAAGTTAGCATCAGGTAGGGTAGGCTCCAAAACCTGGTGGTCCCTGGTCAAGGACAGACAAGGTTATCTGCCTGATGAACTTATTCCACCTCTAAATCGACAGGATGGGACCACCTCTACTAGTAGTCAAGAGAAGGCGGACCTCTTTGCTGAACACTTTGCTACCAAAATGCAAGTTCCTGATCCAGCAAGGGACCCTCCTTGGCTAGCTGCAAGAACTGTCTCAAAACTGTCAGTGGTGACAATAAGGCGGGAGGAGGTGCATTTCCTACTTAAATTGCTTGACCAAGAAAAGGCTGTGGGCCCAGACAAGTTGAGCCCCAAAATTGTTGAGAAGATGTGCAGACCAGCTAGCAACACCTCTAACTCACATCTTTCAGCACTGCCTAGTACAGTGTAAATGGCCCTCTCTATGGAAAGAGGCAAATGTAGTCCCTGTTCACAAAAAAAAGAGCAGAGCAGAAATCAGCAACTACAGACCAGTGTCACTCCTGTCAATCACTGGTAAGATCCTTGAGACAATAATCTCAAGACAAATGACAGAGTTTTTTGACTACCACTCACTACTTTGTGATCGTCAATATGGCTTCAGGAAAGGTTACTCTGCTGCTGATCTGTTGTTAAACCTCTCCACTAAGTGGCACCAGTCACTGGATGAATCCAAAGTCAGCTGTGTGGTAGCACTGGACATTGCTGGCACTTTCGACCGGGGTGGCACCAGGCCTCTTAGCAAAACTTCAAGCACTGGGAATTGCAGGCTCTACGCTATGTCTCCTCAGTGATTACCTTCATGGTAGATCTCTAAGTGTAGTTCTCAATGGAATGGAATCAGCAAGACATCCTATTGGGGCAAGTATTCCACAAGGAAGCGTGCTGGGTCCATTGTTATGGAATGTCTACTTCAACGACCTTCTTCATCTCATCCCAGAATCACATGCATATGCAGACGACTGTACACTGACATTCACTTATCCAAGAGAAGAAATGCCAGCTGCTCTAAGCTACATCAATCACCAGCTGAGAGCTATATCAGCTTGGGGAAATAGATGGCAAGTAACATTTGCACCTGAGAAAACGCAAATGATGATCGTCTCTAGGCACCATGATGGTAATGCTGGTGCAGTAGTAAGGATGAATGGGAGGATGTTGGCACCTGGAGAAGAAGTTGATATCCTTGGGGTGAAATTTGACTCCAAACTAACCATGAAGAACCACGTTGTAAATCTTACAAACAAGGCAGCCAGGAAGCTTACAGCACTTCGCCGTATCTCCCATCTGCTTGACAGTAAGGGTTGCAAGATCCTGTATGAGGCACAAGTACGCTCACACCTTGAGTATGCTCCACTTTCTTGGTTTGCCTGCACCCCCCCCCTCATCTGCGACTGCTTGACAGAGTACAGAACAGAGCAAGACGTCTCATCTTTCGCCTGGACCAATCCTGGATGGATCTGTCATTTCAGCAGAGTCTTCAACACAGGAGGGATGTGGGTGGCCTTACTGTTACATACAAGGCCAATACTGTCAAAGTACCACACTTGGATCCACTTCAAGGACAGTGAGAAACAAGCTTTTATGCCACAAAACGGGCAGAAAGCAGCAACTTCACTCTGGCTGTACCCTTCTCCAGAACATTACTCCATCTGAGATCATATATACCCAGGATGACTCGAGTATGGAACACATTCGTACAGCATAATGATGTCAATGAGATAAAGTCAGTTGATCACATGAAAATGCTGGCCAACAGATGGCTCCAACTTCATCCCGTTCCCTACTTGTATGTCTCATAACAATGAAAATGCTTTCAAATGAGCTGATGTAGGTAACAGCTCTTAGCATGCCGATAAAGTTAGGAATCCTTAACCTGCAAATAGCATGTCAATAAAGCTAGGGATCCTTAACCTTGTCAAACCCTGTGTGCAAAAAAAAAAAAAAAAAAAAAAAAAGAGAGAGAGAGAGGAGAGAGAAGAAGAGAGAGGAGAGAGAAGAGAAGGCAGAGAGAGAGAGAGAGAGAATGAGCTGATGTAGGTAACAGGTCTTAGCTTGTCAATTAAGTTAGGAATCCTTAACCTGTAATAGCTTGTCAATAAAGCTAGGGATCCTTAACCTAACCTTGTCAAACCCTGTGTGTGTGTGTGTGTGTGTGTGTGTGTGTGTGTGTGTGGGGTGTGTGTGTGTGTGTGTGTGGTGTGTGAGTGTGTTATGTGTGAGAGAGAGAGACAGAGAGACAGAGAGACAGACAGAGACAGAGAGACAGAGACAGAGAGAGACAGAGAGACAGAGAGGAAGAGACAGAGACAGAGACAGTCAGAGAGACAGAGACAGAGACACAGAGAGACAGAGACAAAGAGACAGAGACACAGAGAGACAGAGACAGAGAGACAGACACAGACAGAGAGACAGAGAGACAGGCAGACACAGACAGAGAGACAGGCAGACACAGAGAGACAGGCAGACACAGACAGAGAGACAGACACAGACAGAGAGACAGACACAGACAGAGAGACAGAGAGACAGGCAGACACAGACAGAGAGAGAGACAGACACAGACAGAGAGACAGAGAGACAGGCAGACACAGACAGAGGGGGGGGGATAGGTTTTACTCTGGAGAAATTGAACAGTGTAGAAATGAAATGTTTGTGTTCATGTTCATACCTGGAATAATGATACATCATTAATGTTTCTGGTCACAGCATCAACAACACCAATGAAGGTGTAAGGTACATACCTGAGATATTGAAGCATCATTGATGCCTCTGGTCACAGCATCAATGTCAGCAACACCACTGGAGGTGTAGGGTGGGTATGTGTCCGTCACACCTGGCTTATTGGTTTCCTAAGAGAGAGAAAATGATCTTTTCTTTAAAACTCACACAAGACAATATTCTGTAATGATGAACTAACTGACAACACAAGACTATAATAATGAACTAACTGACAACACAAGACTATAATAATGAACTAACTGACAACACAAGACTATAATAATGAACTAACTGACAACACAAGACTATAATAAATGAACTAACTGACAACACAAGACTATAATAATGGACTAACTGACAACACAAGACTATAATAATGGACTAACTGACAACACAAGACTATAATAATGGACTGACAACACAAGACTATAATAATGGACTGACAACACAAGACTATAATGATGAACTGACAACACAAGACTATAATAATGGACTAACTGACAACACAAGACTATAATAATGGACTAACTGACAACACAAGACTATAATAATGGACTAACTGACAACACAAGACTATAATAATGGACTAACTAACAACACAAGACTATAATAATGGACTGACAACACAAGACTATAATAATGGACTGACAACACAAGACTATAATAATGGACTAACAGACAACACAAGACTATAATAATGGACTAACTGACAACACAAGACTATAATAATGGACTGACAACACAAGACTATAATAATGGACTAACTGACAACACAAGACTATAATAATGGACTAACTGACAACACAAGACTATAATAATGGACTAACTGACAACACAAGACTATAATAATGGACTAACTGACAACACAAGACTATAATGATGAACTAACTGACAACACAAGACTATAATAATGAACTAACTGACAACACAAGACTATAATAATGGACTGACAACACAAGACTATAATAATGGACTAACTGACAACACAAGACTATAATAATGGACTGACAACACAAGACTATAATAATGGACTAACTGACAACACAAGACTATAATAATGGACTGACAACACAAGACTATAATAATGGACTAACTGACAACTCAAGACTATAATGATGAACTAACTGACAACACAAGACTATAATAATGGATTAACTGACAACACAAGACTATAATAATGGACTGACAACACAAGACTATAATAATGGACTAACTGACAACACAAGACTATAATAATGGACTGACAACACAAGACTATAATAATGGACTAACTGACAACACAAGACTATAATAATGAACTGACAACACAAGACTATAATAATGGACTAACTGACAACACAAGACTATAATAATGGACTAACTGACAACACAAGACATATAATAATGGACTAACTGAGAACACAAGACTATAATAATGGACTGACAACACAAGACTATAATAATGGACTGACAACACAAGACTATAATAATGGACTAACAGACAACACAAGACTATAATAATGGACTAACTGACAACACAAGACTATAATAATGGACTAACTGACAACACAAGACTATAATAATGGACTAACTGACAACACAAGACTATAATAATGGACTGACAACACAAGACTATAATAATGGACTGACAACACAAGACTATAATAATGGACTAACAGACAACACAAGACTATAATAATGGACTAACTGACAACACAAGACTATAATAATGGACTAACTGACAACACAAGACTATAATAATGAACTAACTGACAACACAAGACTATAATAATGGACTAACTGACAACACAAGACTATAATAATGGACTAACTGACAACACAAGACTATAATAATGGACTAACCGACAACACAAGACTATAATAATGGACTAACTGACAACACAAGACTATAATGATGAACTAACTGACAACACAAGACTATAATAATGGACTAACTGACAACACAAGACTATAATAATGGACTAACTGACAACACAAGACTATAATAATGGACTAACCGACAACACAAGACTATAATAATGGACTAACTGACAACACAAGACTATAATGATGAACTAACTGACAACACAAGACTATAATAATGGACTAACTGACAACACAAGACTATAATAATGGACTAACTGACAACACAAGACTATAATAATGGACTGACAACACAAGACTATAATAATGGACTAACTGACAACACAAGACTATAATAATGAACTAACTGACAACACAAGACTATAATAATGGACTAACTGACAACACAAGACTATAATAATGGACTGACAACACAAGACTATAATAATGGACTAACTGACAACACAAGACTATAATAATGGACTAACTGACAACACAAGACTATAATAATGGACTAACTGACAACACAAGACTATAATAATGGACTAACTGACAACACAAGACTATAATAATGGACTGACAACACAAGACTATAATGACAGAGTAACTATATCAGTGCTACTCAACATCTACTCTGGTAAGGTAAACCAAATCACAAACACAATACATTTCCTAGAATACAAGACATCTTCAATACTGCATCACTACAATATACAATACCCACAAGAACACCAACAAGTATTACCTAAACAATAAAACAACCTACTGTGCTCATTATTTACACTCAGTAGAAGGAACCCAATGTAATTTGATGTCTAAGGTAATACCTTCCCTGGTGCATTTGTTGATAAGACAAAGAGTAATGCTGGTGAGACAACTTGAAGTGGGATGTCTGATGAATTCCTATGACTACTGACTGCATTCTAAGTTATTCTGGGCTTGTGTGGTGGATGGTTTTGTTCTGTGGTCCCCCTGCATAGTGTGGTCCTGAAGGACGAGTTTGTCGAACATTTCTGGCTACTGATGAATTGATACGAGTAGGTGTAAGTCGCCGACTCAAGGGACAATTGCAGAGATTATATTTCATAAGGAGGGCCATCAAACAAGGATAGAGTAGAAGCCAGCGATGTGTGTGAACATCTAGTGAGGACCTGGTTGCACAGGCTTCCTGAGGACAGTTCACGACAAGTCCACACCAAGAGCAAGTCCAGGAATGCCTAGAAGAATTTTCCCACTAATGTTAAAGTATGATAATATTTGCAGAATTGGTCTGTTATCATTTGCCAGAATCTTTCACTCAGTGTGGAGCAAGGTTTTATGCAAGACAGTGCTTCTTGTCACACCTCTATGTGCTGTTCATGACAGTAAAGTATCCTTCTTTGATGACTTGAATGCCTCTGGGCTGTGACAGAGATCTCTTAAGGAAAGGATATAAGCCCACTCACATAGCTTTAAAACACCATCCATAAGTCAGGGAATTTACCTCACAAACCCCTGAAAAATGAGTTAATTACTTGCTAGATGGTTAAAGAACAAAGGACGACCTACTTTATGGTTGCAGTATATGAACTTCAGTAATGCCTTTGAAGGAGTTTCCACTCAGAAAACTGACACAGAGAGTAGCAGAACATGATACAGTAATTGCCCAAATGATGGGCAGTTACTGTATCATGTTGCTGCCACTTTTTGTTGGGGCATTACTGGCTTAAGATGATTTACTGTGGTGGATCCCCAGGTACCAATAGCATAATTAAAGTAGAGATAGATTAGAGAGTAGTATAATGTAAGTACAGTGGACCCTTGGTTTTCGTGTTTAATCCGTTCCAGAGCCATCGGCCAAAACCAAAACCATTTTCCCCATAAGAAATAATGTAAATGGAATTAATCCATTCGAGACATCCAGAAGTATCAACAAAAAATTTTTTTACCTTAAATATAAATTTACATGCACAAAAGAATGAACATTAAACATGACACTTAACTGTTTTGAATGCTGTTGTTGCTGGAAGGAAAACAGGGAGGAAGAGAGAAGGAAGATAGGTTATTGTTTGGAAGGGAAAACCCCCTCCATAAGGACTGTAGGTACCAAGTCCTTATCTGAGGTCACTTCCCTCCTTTGTTTTTTACTGTCACTAGGACCAGCTTGAGAGTCACTGGACCCCTGTCACACAAAATATCTGTCCAGATAGGTCTGTTTATGGCATCTCTCTAAGATTTGCTTAACATGGGACATGGCATTGTCATTGTAAAAGTCACCAGCACGGATTGCAACAGCTTTCTCAGGGTGATGTTACTCCACAAATTAACCCCTTGACTGTCGCAACCCCCAATCCTGAGGTGTCGCAAAATTTAAAAAAAAAAAATTATTTTTTCTTATGAAATGATAGAGAATCCTTCCCCGATTGTAATGACACCAAAAAAATGAAATTTGATGGAAAACTGACGGAATTATGCTCTCGCGAAGTTAGCGACCTCGGCGCTGTTTACAAATTGGCGATTTCGCCCACTTTGAGCCCTATTTTCGGCTAATTCCATTACTCCAGTCGCCCAAACTCATAGCTATTTCTTTAGAACTCCATTTTTTCTATCGATTGAGTACAAGAAACTGCCCATTTACCGATTTCAACTACCTAATAATGTGGTCAGAAATTTGCAATTTGGCCAATTTCACAAAAACTAAAAAATATAACAATTTCAAAATAAGGTCCAGAATGAACAATGCAGACATTCCTGGCTCTAAAATAACATTTTCTTTGTTCATCAGTCACGTCTCCAGGCCCCTCTGATATTACTCTTGCTTTCTATTTTGAATTTTTATTCAAACAAAAAATAGAAGATTTACTATTTTGCAGACTACTGCAATATTGTAATAGTTGTATAAATAACATCAACCCATTCATGACTGCATATTAGAATGGCTAGTTGGACATTTATTGGACAATGACATCATTTGTTTACTTTTGAACATTGGCAAAAATCAAACATTTCCCCTACTTTGAGCTCCATTTCTAGGTTCTTTTTATAGTAAAATCAATCAAAATCACCTCTATTTCTATAATATGTTTTCCATTCTATCAAATGAGACCAAGAAAACGAGAATACAACCATAAATACTATACGAAAATAGACCACAAAGTCGGCATTTTAATTAAAAAAAAAAAGTCGGCGTTTTTTTTTCTCATTATGCACTGCGTGCTCCAGGATTTTTTTTATATGGTGCACACTGACCACACAGACCCATTCATTCACATGTGGGCCTACCAGCTTTCTCCTGCTTGATTTGAAGCCGCTAGAATTTATGAGTATGTATACGTCAAACACTGTACCTCGTAAGACGTATATATACGGCCGCAACAGTTAAAGGGTTAATGCACTTTAGTCCACATTGCACAAATCTCCTTAATCTTTGAAGAAGGCACCTTCTTCCACCTCTCTTCCTCCTCCTCTTAAGCAATTTCTCAGCTGTGGTCTGTTGCTGTTGCAGATGAAGCTCTTGCAGCTCATCAGTGGTTAGTTCTTCATTGTGGTCCTCTACCAACTCTTCCACATCCTCCAAACTCATATCCAACCCCATGGAATTCCCCAATGCCACAGTTGATTGCACAACAGGTGTAGGGTCGACAGAGTCAGCCTTAAACCTTTCAAAATCCTTCTTTTGGACACAATCTGGCCACAATTTTCTCCAAGCAGAGTTCATCGTCCTGGAAGTCACTCCCTGCCAAACCTTATCTATAAAGCCTATGCTGTGGATGACACTGAAGTGATTCTTCCAGAACTCTCTTAGGGTCAATTCAGAGTCCGAGGTTATGTCAAAGCACCTTTGAAACATTGCTTTGGTGTACAATTTTTTGAAGTTTGCATTGATCTGTTGGTCCATGAGCTGGAGGAGAGGAGTGGTGTTACAAGGCAAAAACTTCACTGTTACAAAACTCAATTTCTTAGACAATTAGTCTTCCAAGTCTGGAGGATGAGCAGGAGCATTGTCCATTAACAGGAGGCACTGGAGTGGCAATTTCTTATCCAGGAGCTATTTTTTCACACTGGGCCCAAACACTTCATTAAACCATTCCAGGAAAATTTCCCTTGTGACCCATACCCTACTGTTTGTCTTCCACATCACACACAATTTACTCTTGACAACACTGTTTTTCTTGAACACTCTAGGATTTTCAGAGTAATACACCAGTAAAGGCTTCACTTTGAAATCCCCACTAGCATAACCACAAAACAAGAGAATTAGCCTGTCTTTCATAGGCTTGTGTCCTGGGAGTGCCTTTTCCTCCTGTGTGATGCAGGTCCTCTCTGGCATTTGCTTCCAAAAGAGGCCTGTTTCATCACAACTGAACACTTGTTGGGGTTGGAATTTTTCAGACTCTACATAACATTTGAATTCCCACACAAATTTTTTAGCCGCTTGTTTGAACTGGCACCCTCATTGTGCCTTACAACACTGTGTATGCCACTTGGCTTCTTGAAATTTTCAAACCAGCCTTTGCTGGCCTAAAATTCACTTTCATCACCACTTGTTTCAGGCAGTTTCTTTATAAGATCCTCATGCAACTGTCTTGCCTTTTCACAAATAATGGACTGCACAACACTATCTCTTACTAACTCTTTCTCTCTGATCCACACCAACAACAATATCTCCACTTCTTCAATTGTTTGGGATCTCTGTTTGGTTATTGCATGCACCCCTTTTGCAACATCAGCTTCCATGATTTCTTTTCTGTCACAATGGAGCTGATTGTTGATGGCGACTTCCAGTACATCCTGCCGAGTTCAGCAATGCGTATCCACTATCACATTTTCTTAGGATTTCTTTTTTCAGTTCTATGGTGTTCCTCACTTTCTTTACCAAAGCACTGGCACTAGGAGCTTTCTTTGGGGCCATGGTCGCTTATTTAGCAGTTACAAACGATAAACAAGTGGCAAAAACAATGGATTATTATGAAATGTTTCATATGACCTGGCAGGATATGTTCACTGACCAAGAAACAACGCAACACTGACTGAGAATGCATGTGGGAGGCGGCTTTGTCTGCACACTTGGGACTGGACAGGTTCCATACAATCAACGAAAACGGAGGTAATCGACAAAACCTAAAGCCAAAAATCGACGAAAAAAGTCGGCCAAAACCGAAATCGGAGATAACTAAGATCGACAAAAACAAGGGTCCACTGCAGTGTTGTTTAAGGTATAGAGTAACATCTTAGAAAGGATGCCAAGCTACACTACACTACACCAGGGTACACAAACTATGCTACACTAGAGTACACATACTGTACTACACTAGACTATACTTGGGTACACATACCGTGCTACACTTGGGTACAGGTAGACTCCTGGCCAGCTTAGCATACTCTACATCCATGTGTTTAATAAAGGAAGAGTTGAGAGCCTTGAGGGCCATGTCTCCATCCTCCTCATCAAAGGCTTGAATTAACATCTCCAACGTCTGTACCTGAAAGTTACATCAGTGTTATTACTAGCCATTACAGTGTTTACAATGACTGTACCTGTAAGTAACATCAGTGTTATTACTAGCCATTACAGTGTTTACAATGACTGTACCTGTAAGTTACAATGTTATTACTAGCCATCATCATTACAGTATTTGCTACTACAGGATTACAGCATGAAAACTACAAGAATACAGCACGAAAAATATAAGACTACAGCCGAGATTTATATGGTTGGGAACACTGGTTGCTGAGTGTGGCTCAGTACAGTCAACCAAGACACAGTACACAACACAGGTGGGATGGTTTGAGAAGTGTGGTTAGCAGGGCTCAGATTAGGTTAGGTAAGGTTTGTCAGGTTAGGTTAGGTAAGGTTTGTCAGGTTAGGTTAGGTTAGGTAAGGTTAGGTTCATCAGGTTAGGTTAGGTAAGATTCACCAGGTTAGGTTAGGTAAGATAAAATTGGTCAGAAACAGGACAAGTGTTTCCTAATGTGGGTCATAGTCATACTACGACCTGAAACTGGAGCATTTGGTCATCTTAGCTGCAAGATGGAACAAGTGGAAAAACCAAGTTTAGCGAGCTTTACAAAATGATAAAGAAAAATGTAGAGATGTCTGTGGAGAGCAAGGAACAGGAGACACACAAGCTACAGCTGCTGAGGCAAAGATATAGAACCTGGAGGAGGAACTGAAGGAGCTGAAGTGGAAAATGAAGATGGTGAAGGATAGGTGCAAGGAGATGGGAGCAGGAACAGCAACAGTAGATGAGGCGACTGAAGGAAGGGAAGGAGCTAAGAATAACACACTGTACATTTAGGGAATCTTTCATATATGCATAGATTGAAAGCCCTGAACCTTCACTCTCATGAAAGACACAGAACAGCAGGAGACATCACTGAAGTATATACATTGAAGAGGGGTATAAACAAAGGTGATATAAATAAAGTACCAAAGATATCAAATCAAGTAAGACCTAGAAATAATGGATTATAATTAGAAGAAATTTTGATTTAGAAAGGATGTAAGAAAGTACTGGTCTTTAAACAGAGTTGTCGATATGTTGAACAATCTCCCAAGTCATTATAGAAGCTAAAACCTTATTAGCTTTAAAGAGAGATTAGACAAATATAAGAATGGGAAGGGGTGAGTTTAATTAGTACCTCAGGAACTGAAGCAAGGCTAGACAATTAGGTGGGTGGGAAGGGTTGGTTTTGAGAAGGACCTATTTAGTATGGGCCGGCAGGCCTGCCACAGTGTTCCAGGAGGTGCAGGAGAGAAACGAGAAACAGCAAAGGAACTGCACAAATCAGATACAGAAATATGGAAGGAAAGAAGTGGGGAGAGAGAGAGATCACTGATTATTCACGGGCTTCAGAAGGCTGAAGGATGAGTGATGAAATACAAAGGCAGTGGAAACAAAGATTAATATCACAACAATAAAGGGCAGGGAGAGCAAGTACCAAGTGAAAAGTTTTTAGCGATTTGGGTGGTACTCCCAGCCTCGTGAACCACCAGTACTAACATCAACCCCAGCCTTGTGAACCAACAACAGTACCACCAACAACCCAAACAGTACCACCAACCCCCAAACAGTACCACCAACAACCCCAAACAGTGCCACCAACAATCCCAAAGAGTACCAACAACCCCAAACAGTACCACCATCAACCCAAGCAGTGCCACCATCAACCCAAGCAGTACCACCATCAACCCCAAACAGTACCACCAACAACCCCAAACAGTACCACTATCAACACCAAGCAGTACCAACAATAACTCCAAACAATACCCTATGGCCTGGTGGCTGAAGCTCTCATTTCACACGGTGAGTGTCCGGGTTCAATTCCCAGCAAGGGTAGAAACATTGGGTACGTTTCTTTATACAAGTTGTCTATGTTCACCCATCAATAAAATTGGTAAATAAAATTGGTACCAGGGCATTAATGGACTGGTGTGGGTAGCATCCTGGGACAAAACTAATCTAATTTGCCCGAAAAACTGCATAACAAGCTGCTTTCTATGTAGTACAGTGGAACCTTGGTTTTCATCTCTAATGCATTCCACAGTCTGACGAAAGCCAAATTCGATGAAAACTAAAGCAACATTTCCCATAAGAAATAATGTAAATCCAATTAATCACTTCCAGACACCCAAAAATATTAACAAAAAATGCAGTAGACCGTCGTTTAACACGATATTGTCTTGCACATTGGTTATAGCACGATTGAAGAATTGCGCGCTGTCGCCCGCAGGGCGAGATGGGCTTCAGCCATCCTCTGCAAGCATCACCCACCCCACCACCCTCCCAGCCTACAGTTTGGTTCATGCATGCATTGGATGAACCTGTGCCAGTAGCTTGCTGTGTTTGTTTAGATACGTATTAATTGCCATAACTTAAATCTGCCAAGCAATCATGGCACCCAGTAGGCATACAAGTGTTGCTGAAAGTTGCAAGAAAAGGTTTAAGCATTTAAGTCTTGGAATTAACGAAGAAAATAGAGATATCAGACAAGAGATAGCCTGTAGTCGGAATGATGCGCCATTTTGTACACAAAAAGAATGAGGCAAATATGAGTTTGTGTGATGACTGACTGACTGACCAACTGACTTACTGACTGACTTGACTGACTGACTTACTGACTGACTTGACTGACTGACATACCGAATGACTTGACTTACTGAATGACTTGACTGACTGACTGAATGACTTGACTGATTTTACAAACCACTACTGTATAGCTCAATAAAAGTGGCTGACCTACCTCCTCATGTTCACAGTAGGTGCCCCACTCTCTGAAGGCCTTTTCGGCAGCTACTGGGTCACCCCGGGCCAGCTGTACCAACACCAGTGCCACTGTTAACCTTCCTATGGCAGCTGTAATGTTAGGATAACAATCACACTCTTACAACATAATGAGAGTCTTACAAGATAAGTTAAAACAAGGGTTTTACAAGTTAAAACAAGATAACAAGGTATTACAAGATAAGTTAAAACAAGTTAAAATAAGATAACAAGGGGTTTAACAGGATAACAAGGGTTGCAACTTATATCTATCCTGTGGATGGTAGTCACTAGTTTACTGTGCACCTTACATCTATCTTGAGGATGGTAGTGGCTAGTTTACTGACCACCTCACATCTATCCTGTGGATGACAGTGGCTAGTTTATTGTGCACCTCATATATCCTGGGGATGGTAGTGGCTAGTTTACTGTACACCTCACATCTATCCTGTGGATGATAGTGGCTAGTTATAGTGTTAGGATAACCTAAGATAACACCATAGTGATAACTTACGGTTATTTTCACCAGCCTGATGGAAGCAAATCTCTCTCCTGATGGCGTCAGTGGCAGCGTCGTATCTGTAAGATAACACCGAGATAGCACTGAGATAACACCCAGATAACACTAAGACAACACCAAGATAAAGACAACACCAGGATAACATAAAGATAACACAATAATAAAGATAAAACTGTCACAAAGTTAACACTAAGATAACATGAAGATAAAAGATGAAGATAACAAAGATAACACTAAGGTAATACTAAAACACTAACACAGTAACAAAGATATCACAAATGTAACACTAAGAGCACAAAGATAACACAAAGATAACACACAAGTAAAACAATGATAATGCAAAAAAAACATTAAAATACACAAAGATAACACAAAAATAAAAAGATAACACTAAGATAGCAGAGGTGTATAACCTGGCAGTCTTCATTCTCTATAATAATATTAATAATACAGAACAAGAAGACTTCTACATCTTAAAGAAGACACTATAACATGATAAAGAAGACACATGATAAAGAATACAAAGAAGACAACATAATAAAGAAGAGACTTACTTCTGCAGCTTAACATTAAGACGGGAGACTCTGCTCTGGTACTCTGCTGCTTGTCGTGGTCTGTCTTCTGTCTACACACAAACATACCAATATTAGTCATCTTAGTTATCTTGGATTATCTTGCATTATCTTGGGTTATACAGTCAACACATACTTAAAGAAGAATGAAAGATAAGCATACAGTAGTGTGCAAATTAGTCTCCGGCTTAATTAATGTAGTTTGGGCTCTTTTCTTTTCAGAACAGTTTGCTACTGACTTCTAGCAACCATCCAGATGTGGTGTTACCCTGCAACTCTTATCAGTGCTACAACAGCTGTTGTTCTGTAAGGCTATTCCTGCAAGCATGTTCCATGAGTAAATGTGGTTTTGCCAAATTCTCCCCTTCAATTCATGATTACTGCTGAAATTTGTGATAGATGTTACACCTAAGAGGTGTGCAAGTTTTGTAGCTCCTAGAAAACATGCTGATTCGAGTATTAGACAGATCCCCGAAAATTTGAGCCTAGCAAAGTCAACTGTTGGTCGAATTCTGAAGAGAGCTGATGACACTGGAGATTGTGAAGCGTTGCGTCGAGGAAGATGTGGAAAAAATGCAAGACAACACCTCATGATGACAAAGTTATCATAAAAAATAGTGTGAAGGATCCCAAGAAAACCATCTGACTTCAGCTGGCATAAATGTCAATTCTTCAAATGTTTGATGAAGGCTCCTTGAAGTTGACAGAACTGCCAGAAAGCCAATAAAAAAACAATTATTGACTGCAGCTATGAATAAAAAACAGCTTCGGCGAGCACTCGATCATAAGGGATGGATGAGAGATGAATGGAGAAAAGTCATACAGCGGAACCTCAGCTTACGAATTTAATCCGTTCCATGGACTTATTCATATCCTGAATTGCTTGTATGCTGGGTCAATTTTCTTCATTTAAATTAACTGAAATGCAATTAATTCGTTCCAGCTGAATTCCTGTTCTCAGGAGGTATGACAAAATAACCCTATTATCAACTCTACAGCTTATTTATCTGTCACAATTCATCTAATATGACATAATAAACAATATAAATAAAATAGAAATCTGATTTACACTCTAGAATGAATAAAATGTCATTATGTGGACAGCAGAGGGAGGAGGATTGTGGTCGCGAGAGTGGTCAAGCATTTCCGCTATGAAAACGTCAGAGGTGTTATTATAAGAGAATTATTATTATTATAATCAAGGGGGAAGCACTAAACCTGTAGGATTATACAGCGCCTGGGGGGGGATGTTGAAGGCATTCAGGCTTAATTCGGGGAACTGGAGCACAGATCTAATTCCCTAAATCAAGAGCCCCTCACCAACATCAAGGAACCTTCCCTGAGGGGTATTATAAGAGAAAACAGAGTTTGTGAGGCTAACTAAATTAGATCTGGTGTACATACAACATTTACATACCTTGGAGAAGAAATGCAGAGCAGCAAATCCTGTCAGGAGTTCACACTTTTCTTAAGAACTGCTATGTACAATTTTTATGTTTATCTCAGTACACTATGTATCTCCTGTGAGCTGTTTCTCCATCAACCGTGTCAACAGCAGCTTTTCCATCTTTTCCTTGACAGAGGTCCACTGCTTAGAAATTACTGTAATGCCCTTTGCTGGCACTATAGCCTTTATAGACTCCTTCTGCTTTAGTATTGCACATATATAAGAGGGGCTATGCATGTATGTACTCACTCACCAAGTCCTCAACCCTTGTACTTAGTCTGTGCTTATTAATGATTTCTTGCTTTAATTCCATGTAAATCATCCTCTTTCTCTTCTCGGCACTGTCCTTTGCACTTGCTTTCTTAGGACCCATGGTTAGAAGAAATCTAGCGAATTAACTGCATGAAACTTAAGGAAATCACGAGAATTCCTTGCACCACGAGAGTAGCTCCATAAGCACATGTGCACTGGTGACCATTGTTCTGATACACTGCTATCTGGTGGTGGTGTTGTCAAACTAAATTATACGCAGTACGTACATAGTATTACTATTATATTATTGTACTATTACATATTATTGTATTATTATTATTATATAGTATTATAGTTATTTTATTATACGTAATTGGAGGGATATGTTGTGTATCTCTATACGTATATGTTTCTAAACTGTTATATTCTGAGCACCTCTGCAAAAGCAGTGATAATGTGTGAGTGTGGTGAAAGTGTTGAATGATGATGAAAGTATTTTCTTTTTGGGGATTTTCTTTCTTTTTTGGGTCACCCTGCCTCGGTGGGAGACGACCGACTTGTTGAAAAAAAAAAAAAAAAAAAAAAAAAAAAAAAAAAAAAAAAATGTTTATCATTAATATACGTACATATTATAATAATAATTATTATTAATTTAGGGACCTGGAGCACAGGTCCAATTCCCTAGATCAAGAGCCCCTCACCACATTATTATTCATCATCATCATCATCATCATCATCATCATCATCATCATCATATCATCATCATCATCATCATCATCATCATCATCATCATCATCATCATCAATCATCTCATCATCATCATCATCATCATCATCATCATCATCATCATCATCATCATCATCATCATCATCATCATCATCATCATCATCATCATCATCATCATCATCATCATCATCATCATCATCATCATCATCATCATCATCATCATCATCATCATCATCATCATCATCATCATCATCATCATCATCATCACATCATCATCATCATCATCATCATCATCATCATCATCATCATCATCATCATCACAGGGATGTGTAATGTCACCATGGTTGTTTAATATATTTATAGACGGGGTTGTAAAAGAAGTAAATGCTAGGGTGTTGGGGAGAGGGGTGGGATTAAATTATGGGGAATCAAATACAAAATGGGAATTGATACAGTTACTTTTTGCTGATGATACTGTGCTTATGGGAGATTCTAAAGAAAAATTGCAAAGGTTAGTGGATGAGTTTGGGAGTGTGTGTAAAGGTAGAAAGTTGAAAGTGAACATAGAAAAGAGTAAGGTGATGAGGGTATCAAATGATTTAAAGAAAAACTGGATATTAAATTGGGGAGGAGGAGTATGGAAGAAGTGAATGTTTTCAGATACTTGGGAGTTGACGTGTCGGCGGATGGATTTATGAAGGATGAGGTTAATCATAGAATTGATGAGGGGAAAAAAAGTGAGTGGTGCATTGAGGTATATGTGGAGTCAAAAAATGTTATCTATAGAGGCAAAGAAGGGAATGTATGAAAGTATAGTAGTACCAACACTCTTATATGGGTGTGAAGCTTGGGTTGTGAATGCAGCAGCAAGGAGGCGGTTGGAGGCAGTGGAGATGTCCTGTCTAAGGGCAATGTAAATATTATGCAGAAAATTCGGAGTGTGGAAATTAGGAGAAGGTGTGGAGTTAATAAAAGCATTAGTCAGAGGGCAGGAAGAGGGGTTGTTGAGGTGGTTTGGTCATTTAGAGAGAATGGATCAAGTAGAATGACATGGAGGCATTTAAATCTGTAGGCAAAGAAGGGAATGTATGAAAGTATAGTAGTACCAACAACTCTATATGGGTGTGAAGCTTGGGTTGTGAATGCAGCAGCGAGGAGGCGGTTGGAGGCAGTGGAGATGTCCTGTCTAAGGGCAATATTATATATTATATTATCACACCGGCCGATTCCCACCAAGGCAGGGTGGCCCGAAAAAGAAAAACTTTCACCATCATTCACTCCATCACTGTCTTGCCAGAAGGGTGCTTTACACTACAGTTTTTAAACTGCAACATTAACACCCCTCCTTCAGAGTGCAGGCACTGTACTTCCCATCTCCAGGACTCAAGTCCGGCCTGCCGGTTTCCCTGAATCCCTTCATAAATGTTTACTTTGCTCACACTCCAACAGCACGTCAAGTATTAAAAACCATTTGTCTCCATTCACTCCTATCAAACACGCTCACGCATGCCTGCTGGAAGTCCAAGCCCTCGCACACAAAACCTCCTTTACCCCCTCCCTCCAACCCTTCCTAGGCCGACCCTACCCCGCCTTCCTTCCACTACAGACTGATACACTCTTGAAGTCATTCTGTTTCGCTCCATTCTCTCTACATGTCCGAACCACCTCAACAACCCTTCCTCAGCCCTCTGGACAACAGTTTTGGTAATCCCGCACCTCCTCTAACTTCCAAACTACGAATTCTCTGCATTATATTCACACCACACATTGCCCTCAGACATGACATCTCCACTGCCTCCAGCCTTCTCCCTCGCTGCAACATTCATCACCCACGCTTCACACCCATATAAGAGCGTTGGTTAAAACTATACTCTCATACATTCCCCTCTTTGCCTCCAAGGACAAAGTTCTTTGTCTCCACAGACTCCTAAGTGCACCACTCACTCTTTTTTTCCCCCATCATTCTATGATTCACCTCATCTTTCATAGCCCCATCCGCTGCCCCGTCCACTCCCAAATATCTGAATACGTTCACCTCCTCCATACTCTCTCCCTCCAATCTGATATTCAATCTTTCATCACCTAATTTTTTTGTTATCCTCTAACCTTACTCTTTCCTGTATTCACCTTTAATTTCCTTCTTTTGCACACCCTACCAAATTCATCCACCAATCTCTGCAACTTCTCTTCAGAATCTCCCAAGAGCACAGTGTCATCAGCAAAGAGCAGCTGTGACAACTCCCACTTTGTGTGTGATTCTTTATCTTTTAACTCCACGCCTCTTGCCAAGACCCTCGCATTTACTTCTCTTACAACCCCATCTATAAATATATTAAACAACCACGGTGACATCACACATCCTTGTCAAAGGGCCCTACTTTTACTGGGAAAAAATTTCCCTCTTTCCTACATACTCTAACTTGAGCCTCACTATCCTCGTAAAAACTCTTCACTGCTTTCAGTAAACCTACCTCCTACACCATACACTTGCAACATCTGCCACATTGCCCCCCTATCCACCTGTCATACGCCTTTTCCAAATCCATAAATGCCACAAACACCTCTTTAGCTTATCCAAATACTGTTCACTTATATGTTTCACTGTAACACCTGGTCCACACACCCCCT